AAAGCTCGTGATTGGTCAAGTAAGGAGAAATGCTTGTTCCAGGAACATAATATAGACGATGAGTGGAGAGAAAAAACATATCTAGCTGCTTTCATATCCTGTTGGTTATGTTGCTTCGTGTTTCTTTACAAGAACCTCAACTTTCTTCATCCAGGAGTTTTTAAGATCGCTAGCTTAATGGCCGAGGAAAACACTTTTAGCCTTGCTATCCCGGTCTTGGCTAATATATATCAAGGATTAGGTCAGATCTTAAAGGCCTCTGAGCCAGTTRTAGGTTTGGAAGCTTGCATTCCCATGCATTATATTCATGGTTGGTTGGCCCACTACTTCAACACACATTACAAAACACCTAGGGAGGTCCCAGGCCCTAGGATGGTTGAGTTTTCAGGTGAAGGTGGCTCTATATACTTTAAAAATGTGGCAACTCGTGAATTGATTCATAAAGGTAAGTCCATAGCATGRCATGTAAACGTTCAATCTAGGAATCGGAATGAACTTTTAGTGAATGATGGCAATTTGTCATTCGCACAATGTTCCTATTTCTCAAGCCTTAGAACTTGTCACCTATCATCACGATGCGGGGACTCAATGGTTATTGAATCATACAACCCTCACCGATTTGGTCGCCAGTTTGACTTCTATCAGGACATACCTTTTTTTTCGAAAGAAATGGCCCCTTTAGTTACTTTGGACAACGTCCTATATCATTGGAGAGTTTGCACTCGAACTAATACATCGTCAAAAGTGTTCCTTCCGGCTCGTACATTAAATCCACATGAACAAGTCACTGCTCAATACAAAGACTGGTGGTCTAGCAAACATGGGGATTACCTCGAGAAAGGTATATCAAAGTTGGTGAATAGTGCTCTTCCTCCTTCACCACAACCTAAATCTCCAAAACATAAAGGAGGTAATAAAGGAGGAAAAGACATTCGACTAATTGAGGATAAAGTCTCTGCTCCAACATCGGATGTTAGCAAACATACTGAAAAGAGCCAGAACAGTAATGGCGACCGTCATTGAAAGCGAACCAAGAGATCCAAGAAATCTTCCCACATCGACGATCAATTTTTTGATGGCGTTTCCAGCACCTCTCAGATTCCTGACAACGTCGAAGCATTGGTGAGTGGTTCCTTTTGCTTTAGTTCTTACTCTTCTTGCTTTTCCTTTATTATCACGTCTTCTAATTTACCTCATTTATTTTTATAGCTACCTCTAGAGGATTTCATCGAAAAAGTGGACCAAGAGCATAGTGGAGAATTGATGATGAGTCCAGATGGTTTTGAATCTTCCATAAAACATATTGAAAGTTCCAATACCTTTATAGTTGAGAAGATAACTTCCCCACCTCTTCCCTATTATGGTCAATACTCCTCAACTAGCTCAGAATAAAGCACCGGTTGCAAACCCTGAGATCTCTCATTACTCTGCTGAAAATGTAATCTCTAATTTCGCCCAGCAAGCAGTTATGGCTATGTGGGAAGACATACAGGAGAAGATTGTTCGTACTCCCTTTGAGAATGTTGCTGATCTAAAAAATGAAGTACATAAAATATTCGGCTGGATCTCCAACACTCGAACAGGTAACTTAACATCTCTCTAGGCATTCGTGGACGGTTACTTCCAAAAAGTTGAAAGATATAATAATCTAGAGTCCTCATTTTCTACTCAATTTACCAAGGCCCGTCAACTAGAAGAGATGAGAACTAATTTGAAGAAATCATTACTGGATGAAGATCACATACTCGGAGAGCAGCATGCGCTCCAAGAGCGATTCAATAAATTGGCC